AAAATTATATAAATTGACTCAAATATCACTTCAATTGTTCACAAAATACAGAATTCGCACAAAACTTGCGTAAAGTTTGTAAACCAATAGTGCATTGAAATAAGAGATTGTGAACGAGATATCAATTCATAGATATAAAACATATGACATGTCTTTGTAATCAAAACTATATATCAATTGTCTTAATAATGAATAAATAATGAATGGATTACTGTTTGAGTGGTTTGTTGTCCGGGAAGTGAAGAATAATCGTTACAAACGTTGACGAATGCATTCTCCAAGAGATTGGTTTGATTTGTATTCAACTTATGGATGAATGCGACCAAAGAAGTGCATGATTTGCATGTCTTGTCCGCTGAGGTGTTGTCCGCAACGGTTGGCAATGCGTTCAGACCTATCGTTAACACATATATCAGTCAATGGTATGCTTTGCAGCGTTCATACAATACAAACCATTGGTTAGAACCGACAGAACCGCTAAAAAGACGATTGATTTCATAGTTTTGCTCATTAATTGTGGACTCAATTGAAGGGAAGCGCAGAAGAAGTGATTGAAATGAATGTCTTCTCAATGTTTACAATAATAACAGAAACGAATCATACGATTGATAGTAAAGGCAAACAAAAAGGCAACCAATGAATGAATGAGTGATTCAGTGATTCACGCATTTATGGCTTATAATAGCCACTCATCTCTCGCTTTCATGCATTCATTACTCCTATGAATGTTGTAATCGCTCTCTCATTACATTCACTCAATTCGTATCGTATTTAACGCATAATACAGTAGTTTTGTTGCCAAAGGGTTGGAAGCGATGGATGGGAGGGGAGGACAGGGATGACAGGGAGGACTCACTATAGATTTGATGCGAGTATTAAATGATGAACAAGAATCGGTTGTACACATGATGTTGTGTACTTCAATACAGTACATGGTACAATTACGGTATATATGACTGATATATGCATAGTATTGTTTGAGACAATCATTAATACACAGTTCATTTAAAAGTTAATTTAATGCTTTAGTTTTATAATCAATAAAAACAGAACAAACTTTTATTTGATCATTTGTTTTGAATATTTTTGATTTAAATATTTGCTATAAAATTACAATAAATCCAAAAACTTACAAAATATTTCGAATGAACGCAAAACCAATTGAAATAAATTAAAAGTAATAAACCTTTTATATCTTTCTTAAAGAAATTTAATACACATTTTCAAACAATTGTTTTAAATTTTAGTTTTGTATTTCGATGAATATATTAAACATAATAAAATTACAAAGCATTGAGACTCTCATTACAGTAAGTGTTTTAAACATCGAATTGAACCAAATTTCATGATATCAAACGTCGGCATACATTTCAGTGCATTTTATCAAATGTACACAATTTGTTGTAAATTACAATTGTTTGCAATTGTGAGAGTTTTCTTCAATAAATAGATGTTTCTGTTTATAATATTCTCTAATAAAGTGAATGTCGTATAAAATGTTCAAATTCTTAGTTGAGTTGAGTTCGTATTTCTCTGTGCAGATGACATAACAGATCCACATATGAAGGGCCCTCCAGTTTAGCACTAAATTCATTAACACAACAATTAATATGCAATTAACACAAACATTATTAAGCACTCATACCTATCGCCTCCAACACCGTTATTGACGCCTTTCTTGTCTTCGTAGAGAAAACTTCTAAAAATAGTCTCTAATTTATCAATCGATTGTCTGATGACATAAATCTGAAATCAATACAAAAGGCAATTCATAAAAATAGCACAAAACAAATTATATACAAACTAACTCTCATCGATTTTTTCCTAATATTTTCTATGTTATCTATGATTCGGTTTAAATAATTAGATTCTGTTGTCAACAGTTTGGGTAAACCCTATAAAAGAAAGCATTGTTTGTTAAAAATGGTTGATATAATAGAGAGGAGAGCAGTACTCACTAATTCGGGCTGTATTTTAGAGATAGAGTCCACATGTGAGCCAAAAACTGCACTCAAGAATTGACTGTTTCCTCCGATAGTGTTTGGTATAAACAACAGAATATAAAAGCCATTCTCCAGTAGATATGCCAACGCATTCGTGTCCACGAGTTTGTGTGTTGAACAACGGATTTGTGTTGATTTTAGATGAGCTCCGGTTTCGTCGTACTTTCATTATCAAAACACAATGTCATTATGTTTTTAGATAATTCAATATTCAATAAATACCTCAATTTTTAAGACTCGTGGATAAAGCATGACTTGAGAGAGAATGAGAGGAGCGCCTGTTTTATAAGAATTCATTAATTAGTGATCGCATGGGTGGACACTATTGAACACTTGTGGACAAACCGATTAATTTGATTTGCGAGAAGGCTTTGTCGTCGGGAGTCATCTCAGGTCCGCCGTCAATGGCATCGCACTTAAGAGCGCCGCAGATATACATCGGTAACAGTTTCAACGCCTCGGGAAGTATCAGTTGACCTAAAAATTGTTTAAATATTATATAAAAAGAGCTTTTATTGTAATGAATAATAAGATACTAACCGAGTGAAGAACCGGGTTGTGCACAATGGCGTCGATATGCAGTCAATATACTAATGGCTCGACTTATTAGCAATTCTTTCGATTGTTGTACTGTTTTCTCACCATTTCTTAAATTTGAAACGGCTATAGGAATGCAAAAATTAACTGTATTTTAAAAAGTATATGAAAACAAACAAAAAGTGATGCAAACCTTGTCTGATTAACACGTTAATAGCTGTGTCACAGCAGGCATTCCTATAAATATCGGCCACTTGTTGGCACGTCGATAGCGCCATATTATGAACTCTAACTCTTCGCTCACCACTAATTGCTGTGTAGAGTACAGCGACCTATTGGTAGAGTATATGTCTATAGAACACCACTCATTGAACAAATTAAAACTATAACTTACTTGAATCACAACAAACTCGTCTTCAGGTAATTTATCATCGTATTTGAGTTCAACCGCAATATTACAGCCAGAATTGATTGCCGCGCACTCTATATCACTGGTAGTCCTCGAGTAATAGTTACCGATATATTCGTGCGGACGAACTCCGGTCGAAGTTCTCACTGTTTTAATAAATAGATGTTTGTTTTGTAAAGCAATGGATAATAAAATTTGCAATAGAATTGAAATACCTTTCATAATGGCATCGAAAGCAAAGGTTGATCGCAACGAATATTTCAAATCAATGAGAAAACGATCGGTAAAATCATTAAAATATTTATATATAGTTCCCGTTCCCGTGAGGCGAACCAATTCGCCTAAAGTCGCGACATCTAAATACGAGCCATTAATGGGAGGGAAGAGAAACAACTCGACACCACTTGCAAACTCAGTCACACATCGCTGACCCAAACCAATGTAATATTTGTTAGCATCGGGTGACAAAATCGTCTTCTCTTTATCGGTTCCCAAGAGTTTTCTTATTTCATCTAAAATTAAAATAAGTTTTTATCAAATTTACAAAAACAACTAAAATCTCATACCAGGAGAAGTAGTCCAACGAGGCTTCAGTCGGCCGGGAGTTTCAGCATCGGTACCAAAGTTGGGAAGAGTGCAGTGAAAGAGATACATCTTTCCCACAGGAATTGAAGGACTTGTATTATTGGGGTTATGGCCTGCGAACCAGTTTCCAGTATCCACTTGAGCCGTAAGAAGTGCCGCTTCAATCACTGGACCCAAAACTGTTTGTGTTTCAAGTTCTTCGTTAGAGTACAGCGAAGGCAAAGATTGTAGAAAACTATTGAAAATATAATAATTAAGACAAACCAATAATGATTTCACTGTTAATACACTATACCTTTCAATCTGCTCGAAATGGACTAACGGGTCGACCAAAAATGTGGTCATTGGGGGAAAAGTAGAGCTCACATCACATATAATATGCGAGTGACCGTTGTTTATAATGTCATAGATTTCTATCTTGGAATTATAGGTTAAGAAGCCAACCAAAGGGGGAGGAGACTCGGTGTTCAGTGGATCTCTACAAACATATTCAATTTTAAACGCTATTTCAATATTTGTAAAAATAACAATCCATACCTCGGAAGACAATTCTTAATTATATCCGCCAAATGGGTGGATAAGTGTTGAAGAATTGGTTTAGAAGTAGCCGTCAATTCCATAGCAAATATTATATGAGGTCTGCGAGCGTTTAAAACACCTGAAATTAAAATAAAATATTAATTATCAAATCATATGACAATTATTTTATAATAACACACCATTTCTGCAGTACTCATCAGTGGCTCTGAATTCATAACTTCCTAAGAATAGTTCCGGTCGATTGAATTTATCTAATCGTTGGCCTGAAATCAATGCAAATAATTAAATATAAAACAAATACAAAATAAATGGCATGAAATACAAACCCGTGTGATCTAAGTTCGCGAAGTAAGAGGAGTTCACTTCACTCACGTGATGGCAAAGAGAGCACTGGAATCGTCGGCCGCCGTCTATGAACCTCATGTAAGGATTCATATATGCTTTGCAACGATTGCACCGAATTATCTCACTGTTAGTTATGGGCACAACCTATCCGTATAAACACAATCACACTTCATATGAATATCGCATACATTTTAATATACAAATCATAAATACAAACAAAACTTACGTTTCTTGAGTCCACTTCTGAGTCGTCAAAGGGCTGTACAACGATAGCGAGTGGAATACCAGTCATTTTAAGAGTGTCTTCAGCGATGGGCACCTGATATATGGTGGACCTGATGTGATGCGGTCGCGCACAGCCGCCATCGTTAGTGACACTGAGTTCGTTATCACAGACTGTGGTCACTAATGGCGGCACTGAGGCGGGGATTGAAGTGGTAAATAGGATGTTGTCATTGCTGTCAAACTTATGCTTGTCTTCTTCGATCACCTGAACCACACTCGGCATCGCTTCCGGGTCTAAGCGCTGTTGTGTTTGCTGTTGATAATTAGATTGTTGTCCCATTGGCTGCGGCGGTGCACCGGCCGTCTGTTGTGGGCCATAACGCGATGCCATTCCCTGAGGAGGCATTTGGCCGGACATCGGCGGCATTTGTTGATGCATTTGTGGACCCATGGATTGCATTGGAGGTCCCATTCCTAATGTCGCCGCCGGCGGCGGATATCCCCCGGATATGGGCGCAGATATTTGGTTAGACATCTGCGGCATTTGGTTAGACATCTGCGGCATCTGATTGGACATCGGAGGAGGCATTTGTTGATGCATTTGTGGACCGGATTGCGACGCAAGAGATTGTCTTTGGTATTGAAATGGCGGCAAAACACTGTTGTTTTGAAACGCTTGTTGTGGTGGAGGCGGAGCTGAAGAGCCGCTCGTTTGGACAGAACCCGAATTCCAAGCGTCAGGGCTTTGAATGGGCTGTGTTTGAAGGCCAGGCATCGGCGGTCGCGACCAGTTCTGGTTATCCATAGTTGGCTGCGGCGGACGCTGTTGTGGGGGTTGTAGTGGTTGTTGTTGTTGTGGTTGTTGTTGTGGTTGGTGTTGCTGTTGGTGTTGTTGTGGCGGTTGTTGTTGTTGGTGCTGAAGAGGCGGTGGATGTGATTGTGGATAGGGTTGTGATTGCAATCCATTTTGTGGTGCAAATGCTTGCGGTTGCGAACCATTGAGTGAAATATTGGTCATCTGATCCGATAAGTTGTTCATCTGTTTGGTCGGTTCGGGCGCAGAGTTGGGTTGCATTTGTGGCGGTCGTTGAGACTGCTGTAAGTGTTGAGTGGGAACCGATGGCATTGTCTTCTGTAAGTGAGGTGTGGTTTGGGGTAAGTGTTGGTTAGGAGGAGGTCCTGGAAGTGAAGACATGGGAGTCTGTGGTCTATAGTATGTATTATTAGGCGAAGACATCGGCATTTGGGCAGCGCTTCCATTCTGTTGATAGTATTGCTGCTGAAGAGGCTGTTGTGGCAAAGGATTGGGGTTTTGTTGATAATACAAGTGCTGATCCATGGCTTGAAAAGACATCAACTGATGGTGTATTCAAAGCCAATGTAAGTCAATGTCGACGTGTCTTACAGTCGATGACAACAACACAACTAAACATTGAATTCAATTCAAAACGTATTTTCTTTTCATTTATTGATTTAATTTTGCCATAAATTATGTGACGTTTGTTAAGACAAGTGAACAAAAAGTGTGCGCTTTTTAAACACTAAAAATTACTGTTAATTATTAAAAGTGATAAAAAGTTGAAATCCAAAAGTTATTTGTCATAAATTATTTGTGTGATCATCACTACTGCGGGAACCGATACCACACCACAAGACATGGCAAGAGCTAAACAGGCGCAGACCACCCGCGGCCGTCCCAACCGCGACGATCGGGACCGTAGTGTCGCCCGCAAGAGTACAGGTGGCGTACCCTCGAGTCAACGCCCGGGCCGTACACCAGTGCCCGCACGACCGCCACCATTGCCCACATCGTCGGACGACACGGCCAACAGTCAACGCACTGACACACAGAGCACCAGCAGTGGTGGCGGTGCCGGTAGTCGGCGATCCGTGTCCCGGCGAGACATGGCTCGCATACTCGAGACCAAGACTGGCAACGGGTCCGGCTTTGGCCGAAGATCGACCGGCGGTGCCCACCAATTGGGTGGCGTAATGCGTCCGCATCGGTACCGTCCGGGCACTATCGCCCTGAGGGAGATCTGCCGCTATCAGCGCTCGACTGAGCTATTGGTGCCGCGGCTGCCGTTTCAACGGCTGGTCCGCGAGATTACGGCCGATCTGAAGAACGACCTGAAGTTTCAATCAGCGGCGCTGTCGTGTCTGCAGGAGGCGGCCGAGGCCTACATCGTCGGTCTGTTTGAGGACACAAATCTGTGCGCCATTCACGCCCGACGGGTCACGATTATGCCCAGAGATATACAGCTGTCCCGACGTATTCGAGGTGAGCGTACGTAAGGGGTGTTTCGGAAGGGATGGTCGGAAGGGATGGTTCGGCATTTCATTACTACAATCAAATCATTACTTTATAAATAGCATTGATTTTTGTTTAACTTATTTCGTAATTCAATTTAACTGCTCTTTGATGTAATTATTCACACTTTAATTCATAATTATTATTATTTGAATGACATTTTCAATATTGTATTTCAGTTTTTCAACTTATTATTAGACCTTATATTTTATCGAAAGTCAACACAATATAACTTTAATGTAATGAATGATTAAATAAAAAGTTTAGTAACTTTTGTGATATTTATTTGTTTCAATACTTTGTCTCTTTTTTTGTCAATTAATTTACATTCAATCAATTATAACCAAACGTCGCTAAAACACTTAATGTTATTTTATTTTTCTAATATAAATGTCTTGTTTTATCGTTTAACTAAACAATATGTCCATTAAAAT